CCCAGCCCCCAACCGCCAATCCCGTACCCTCTCCCACCCCAGTCCCCTTAAGTCCCTTGCCCCGTCCTGCTCTCATCTGCCGTTCCTTGTTCCCCTCTGTCCTGCTGTGCTGTCCCTTGCCCTCTCCTGCTGGCATCTGCCGTCTCTCTTTATCCTCAGTCCTCCTCTGCTGTCCCTGGCCCTCCCGTGCCCATTCTTGCTCCCCACTGCCGTCCTTTGTTCCCACCTGTACCTTTGAAGTATGAAGTGTAGAGCAAAAAGTAAGCTTCAGCTATATGTATTCATAGGGCTTGTACTGATGTAGTCCTAGTGTTGTAATCTGAACATGTGTATGCGTGCCTTCTCGTGAAGGAGAGGGCTCTGTATTCCATGCTGTAGTCCTTTTGAGTGTGATCTACCTCAGGACAACATGTTGTGAAGGCATGTATAGCGGAATCCTGGCTTAGGCAGGCTCCTGTCGTATTTTATCGTTATTTCACATGATCACCTGTAAATCGTGAAAGTCTGAAGCATGATCATGTACTCTCCAGTTCACAGGTAATCCACTCCTCTGTCCCACACAACACAGCCAACCCATCATGCTGGGACATGCCCCATGCAGCAGCTCAACTGCTGAATGTTACCAAAGCAGTGCTTCACGGCAAAGGTGTACTAATTAATGCTCATCACTGAACACCATAACCGGACATTTGCATCCTCCTTGAACTGCCAGAAAATCAACACGAGGTAATAGGTACATGCACTACACCTTTGACGCCCGCTTATTACATTACCATAACCGTGCAAACGTGTTACACACAACCTCAAACGATTGCTGTCATGAAAGCCCTTCTACCTCTCATATGTCCTTAGCAGCATGGAGGCACATGCCAGTCCTGTGCTACACCTACGTCAGACGTTACTGCCATTCCTCCAGAATGGGATGAACATGCATTGCCGGTTCCTTTTGTAAAGCTAAAGCCTGAGCACTTCATGTGTAGTAAACCTGCATGGCTTTTGGATGACCTCTACGACATGGGCATAGGCATAGGCATGGGCATAGACACCAGGATGACACACTGCTTGGGCTGGTGGTGAATTCTGATGTGCCTGCAGCTGCGAAACAGTTCCTTCTGGACCATAGCCTTAGCCCCCATGGTATGGATGGAGTCTACCTTTATGGACACCCCCCACCTGTTTTGTTTGAAGTATACACGTCTTGCAAGGCAGCACTGACGAACTTCCTGAGCGAGGTGAACTTCCCTAAGGAGTTTTACAGCCCAAGCATCTGTGGTTATAACCCCAACCCGGTGGCGAGTTGCTCTGGTACAATGGCAGAATGGAGATGCGAGCTTCCTTTGAGCACGGGAGTAGTGGTTGACATCGTTGCTATTGTGCCGCTCGTCTCAGACTTGACATTCATTGTCACGCTTGGAAGTGCATCAGACGTCAGGCGCTGGATGGACTACCGTGACCGGGGATTGCCTGAACAGGTATTGAGCAGCATGAAGGGCCCAGCAACTCCCTGGCCCCAGATATTTCTTAAAGCTGGCGAACTGCTCCTCATGGCGGGTAACACCTTCCACAAGGGGCCATCCCCCCACAACGGTCAGCCACAGCTATACCTCATGTTTTTCA